GAACAGCCCGAACTCCTCGGCCATGTCTGCGCCGGGCGGGGCGGGGACGCGCGCGGCGTCACCGGCGTGACGTCATGGGCGGGGCCGGGGGCGACGTGACGGCGCGGGGCTGCGGCACGCGCGCACCAGCCCTGCTGTTGAGCCCCAGCTCAAGTCTGGGATCGTGCCCGGTATGCAAAGGCCAATAAAGATACCAGGGGTGAAAGTATAAAGAAGGTTTATTGCTAGCAATACAAGGTGCAAGCGGAATAATGTCACGTAACAAGCACCCCGATTCTTAATTATGAGCATCTTTTCTACGGGAGTATTGGACCTTCATAAGCATTCGTGTTTGCTAATTGGTGATAAGGGAGTGACGAAGGAGTTCTTGCCTGAGCATGTCTCTATACCTGTGTTTGAGCTATGGATCTCATTTCCATACATGTATGCTTCATTAGCATACTTTCTCCCCACCTCGGGGTGTGATTTTTAGTATTGAAATTAGCTCTTTGCCCTAGTCCTCTGTCTGCTTTTGTTTTCAAGCCTCCTTTATCTAAGACTGTCTCCTCCTTATCATTGCAGATGGGCATTAGTTACATAACAGAGACTTTTGCTTGGGCTTTGTATAGCGGTTTCTAGGTCAAACCTGATGTTCCCCTCTCTGGAGCATTTTTAATTATTTTTATTATAATTGCTCCACTCAATTTGTTTTAACACAAATCTAGTATTTTCAGCTTTTTTTGTTTGTAAAATCATTTGATTTATCTTAGGCCTGAAGATAGATAAGAAGACAGGTAAATATTGTATCTAGCAACAGGCTATAATCCCTATAACACAAAATAAAACAACCATATTAAATAACTGTTTTAACCATCTAAAATTGGGAAGGCAGGAAGTTAACCAGGACAAGTCTAAGCCAGATGATTCCAGACATTTTTCTGAGGGTCAAACATTTTTTTGTTGTAAAAGGTTTTCCCCTCCTATGAGTAGGAGTGGACAGATCAGGGTGCCCCACAATAAAACCTTGAACAATTTTATAATAAGGCTTGTAAAACTTAATCAAAGATTGACAAATTATTTAAAGTTGGGTTTTTTTTTTAATAGGAATTTTAAGTCTCTTATTGGCTCTATCTTTTATTGTTTTTTGCCTCCGGTCCCGGAGTCTGTAGGGGTTTTTTTTGTTCCGGTCCAGCCACCGGCTTTAGGCGACTGGAATGTATCTAAGTTTTGATTTTTTTGAGCTTTGCGGCCGTCGGGGTCGTTAGAAGTATCTTCTATGGGCCTTTCCATCTGGCTCGAAGTGGTTCCTCGTTCCAATCTTTTATAAGGACATAACTCCCAGGTAATAATCGATTTTTTGGGGCAGGATATTGGTCCTGTGTCTGCAGCACGTCTCGTACCTGCTGATGGATGGAAGACAAAACAGAAACCAAGGACCATATATATTTTTTAATCATTTTTTTTCTTAAAACTTGTACCTGTTGTTCAGTACCCATGGGCAGACTCAGAGGGTAAGGCTTA